GATTGTAAACTTTCTCCAGTACCTGGTATACAGCTAACTTATGTTCTTGAAAACTACCGTTTTATAGGAAGATGAATGATCCTTCCATTGTCACTCCGTTTTCCAGAGATGACAGGGGATACACACCACTTCATATAGCTGCTATTTGTGGTGAGTATTGCTGTCTTTCCATGACTGTGTAATATTTACCTTCTGTGTACTCTTCATTAAGCCCTTGAAGGAGGGGATACATTAGCTTATTTTTCACCTTACATTCTGTGATGAATTTTGCATGAACTGTATTTTACTTATGGGTTAGACGAACAGAAATCCTGGCCCAGAATGAAACTCTTGTATTCTTCCCTTTAGCCCAGGTGCTCCTGTCTGCATTTTCTTTTGGCTTCTTATTTGTTTTTGCCTTGGTGGCTGCCATGGTGGCATTTCTTTTAGCCAGATGGGTAGATTAGGAGATATCCTCAGAAAGGAGACATCCTATTACAAACTGACAGCAATGTGGCAAGTCTTATATACATCCTGTGACCTAGTATATGTGTCATGATATACACTATCCCTCCCCACTCCTTGAATGTGGGTCATGGTCCTGACCTCAGATTTGTAAGCAAACACATTCATCTACTCTGGAGATTTTTTTATCTGTTCTTCTTGCTTTTATTACCTTTGACTTGCACAGTACATATGCCAAGGGCAGAGCACTGTGTGTGATATCAGTTTACTTTCCATTCCCTGTTCACCCTCAAGATACAAGTGCAGTTTAGTTGCAGTTAGTGGCCCCGTTTCTGAGCTGTGTCCTTGAATAATCTGTAGTAAATTGACTGTTCATTACAAAGAGCAAGTACTAAAAAAGCGAATATGCAGTGTGCACAAGAATGAAGAGTGTCAAGGTTTGAAATTCTCATTTTAGTTTGAAAAGTAACTTTTCCTGTGAGATGTTTACTTCTCAGTTTTAATGACCACATATTTTCCATAGGGCAAGCATCATTAATTGACCTGTTAGTTTCCAAAGGAGCTGTAGTCAATGCTACAGATTACCACGGTTCAACACCTCTTCACCTTGCCTGTCAGAAAGGATATCAGAACGTTACAGTAAGCACTGAAAGGCTTAACCAATGAATTTTTTTAACACCTATATAAGTTGAAGAAAAAACAAATCTAACTATTGCTGTTCTACTGATACCATTGTTCAGGGATGTAAAAGCTTCATTATAATTGTGTGCTATCACAATTCAGGGCCTTTAAGCATTTTAATTAAATGCTAAACTTTATAGGTTTATAATCTAGATGTCTCAATTTTCTCTGATCTACAAGATCTCATGTTGGGAATAAATTTTTGTCCCCTCTGTCTTCTTGGTTAAAGTATTTTTTTTAAATTCTATTTAACATTTTCTAAATTAGTTTGAAAACTAGATTTTGAGAGGTTTGCCAAATTTGTATGCTTTTCTGCATTCCCATAATTCAAAGTAGCCTTATTATCTTCAGTTACCTTTTGTAAACCCATTAGTCCAGATTAGGATTTGTATGGCTTTGCTTATTTCTGACTAACTCAGTTGTTAGTGATTATGCATTCATAATATTTTTCAATATGTTTTTTAATTCATGTCTAATGTTTAGCACAGACTGATAGGATGGTGGAATCTCTGCTCTGGATTGATGCAAAAGAGCTATTATGATCAGTCAAGTAAATACAATGCTTTAAACATTGTTTTGAAAATAGACTAATCCTACAGTTCAGTCAGTTGTCGTAGACTTGAATTTTTTAACATTTTTTTTTTTGTAATATTACAGCAACTCAGATGTTCAAAACTAAGAAATTCAGAGAGAGGGATGAAATGATGCACTTAATTAAACCCATTGTGCCTTTGCCTTTACAGCGCTCTTAGGACACTGAGTGAATATCCATGTTATCTGTGCTGCAGTACCTCGCTACAGTGGATGATTTAAAGTCAGTTTGCAGATATACTCTGTGGTTTTTAAATAGTGTGTGACAAGAACTGGAGCAAAATAGTGGCACGAAGCCAAGGACAGCCATCTTTACTTACTGGTTTAAAGCAGAAGAGATGTGGTTCTATTTGTACTATAGTAATTCATCATCCTAGAAACCTAAAGGGTGCTACAGCAGTAACAATTGTTTGTCCATTAATTTTCTGTTACTTAGATGTTGAATTTCTTTTTAGCTTCTCTTGTTGCACTATAAGGCAAGTACAGATGTTCAAGACAATAATGGCAATACTCCACTTCATTTAGCCTGCACTTATGGTCATGAGGATGTAAGTAATTGTTTTGTAACAAACTTAATAGACATCCTAATAGGATTACTGCATGCAATGAAATTGTGATGCCAATTTGGATTACATTTATTTATTTAAAAAAGTAAATAAAACACAGTTTTGCAGGATGACTCTTTAATTCATATTACAAACTGGCACCTTATTATATCATAGTATTTGTTTAATGTAGGTATCCATTAACATTGGTGTAGCCACTAGAAAGCCCAATTATTTGGGTCCCTTGTATTCATTGTTTATTTATTGTGGCCTTTTAAAAAATGATATATATTTGATAGGACCTCAAAAACCTACCCCAGAGAGTAGATTCTAGGATCTGCAATAAAACCAGCATTACTGTTCAGATTGCACAGGTTATGTGGATTGGGGACCAGTGCTATAATTCATTGGTGGCTTTTCTTTTCTCTCCAGTGTGTCAAAGCTTTAGTCTATTATGATGTACACTCTTGTAGACTAGATACTGGTAACGAAAAAGGAGATACTCCCCTCCATATAGCTGCTCGTTGGGGCTATCAAGGAATAATAGAAGTGCTGCTGCAGAATGGAGCCAACCCAGATATTCAAAACCGGATGAAAGAGACTTCCTTGCAGTGTGCATTGAATTCCAAGGTATTCTTCCCAATCTGCTAGCAGGGAGGTTTTTAAAATGCATTTCCACAGTGATTTAGCTGTATTTGAAGCTTAGTTGTGAATGGGATATGTGGGCATATACTCTTACAATTAAAAATAATTTCCATTCACTTTTAAGAAAGGAAGCTCATATTTTACATCTTAAAATGCATGGCAGTGGTTTTTTTTTAATATGGAATGTAAACAGTTCCAATTGTTGCTTTAATCTGATCCATCATAATCTCTTTTGCTGATATTAAGTGGTTGGCTAATTTCTGTTTCCATCAGTAAATTCCTCTTAAAATTGAGTTACATTGTATCTCTTCATTAATATGTTTTCTGCAGATTTTATCATTGATGGAATTAAACTACCTAACATTTGAAAGGGGACAGAGTGCTTCTGAGGTAACGGTGTGAGTTGCTAAACTTTTGCATACATTTTAGCTGTTTAACATAAGGATGTAAACCCTCTTATTTGTTTTGTTTTTGTTGACCTGATTAAAGTCTCCAGTTAGGTCTCCTCAGCATTCAGCAGACACCTTCAGCAGAGGGTCATCTGTCTCCAGCTTGTCATCAGCGTCAGCAGATACCAGACAAGAAGAAATTAAAAATAATTACAAAGAGGTAATAAAAGCTTGGTATTTAGCAGTGCAAAGGTAGCCTTGAGTGTCAATTCTACAGTGTCATTTTAAATTACTCCCCCAGACATAGCTGTTGGGGATAAGTAATTAACAGTAAGCAATAAGCATAAGCTAGTCCAGCACTGATAGTAAACTAAGGGAGAGCTCCAGGAAAGGGCAATGGAAGTTTTTTCACTTCAGCCAAAGGGAAAAATCCTCACTTGTGTCTCCTTTAAACACACTATGACTTTCCTGCTCTGAGAAGGATTCCATGGAAAGAAAGCTCATGTATTTTACTTTCTCAGCACTTCACTAAACATAAGTAAGTAGTCAGAGATGGTTCCACAAACAATGAGGTCTTTCAGTACTGTTGCACTAGGTAGGAATCTTCTCTGTACAGGAGCACCGAGTGGAGCACCCATTGGGTTGGAATACTGTGAATAACAAGCTGCTGCTTTGTGTGTGAATCAGAAATGTGCCAAGTAAAGACTCATTCCCCAAGTGTGAGGAAAACCTCTGAAGACACCTGGCACTATATATATCTGGGTGTGGAGGAGGCATACTACTGGTGTTAGGGCAGATGGTGAAGCACTGCTATTCCGAGGTATTGGCTGTCATCTTGGTTTCTAAGCATACATTTTTGCTTGACTCTTAGGAAGTGTTAATGATGGAACTGTATTTTTTTTTTAAAGTGTACCTTGCAGCTGTTAATATCACAATGTGGTTAACTGGGTGCTCTGTGTGTTTGTAAGCTTCTGGGGGCTTTCACTCTTCCATTCTGTCTATAAAAGTCAGCATCAGAATCAAATAACATCTTATGGTATGTTTTAAAATTAATAATAGAAAAGAGATGATTCTAGACAGGGAGTTGACAAGGAACATGATGAAGTGCAAACAACTAGCTTTTGTAATAAACCACAGGAAGTGTCAATTTTCAGACCATCGTAAGGAATATATCTCATCTGCTGCCGTGCCTGCATGTCATTTGTCCAGTTCCAATATATCCAAAATACGGCTGATAAAATCCACTCTTACCAGGTCACTCCTTTTTGAATTTCCACACTCACTTCCTCTCACCTTCCACCTCAAACCCATACTTCTCATCTTCTTTTCCCAAGCCCCGCTCAACTCCACCCTGACCTCTCAGGTTTAATTTCTTCTTCCTCTTCCTACTCCTCTGTTCCTTCCATCCACCCTGTTAAATATCTTTGTCTCCTTCCATACTACCTCTTGCTTAGAATTCTCTTTCCTTCCTTTTACAGAAAAAAGGACACATCCCTCCTCTCTTCATTCAAATCTCTTCTTAAAACATTTATTCTAGGAGGCTCTTAGATAATTACTCCAAAAAGCATGAAGGAGCATGAGTGGAAAATGTGAATTCACACTGTGGTATTATCAATCTCTTCTTGGATACTGTGTTTATTTGTGTGTACACTTTTTCCAGTGTGTAATTTACACTGTAATATCCTTATAACAGGTCCCTGTCTGTGTGTACAGAGCCAAGCCCAGTAATGTTGCTCCATGAATAAGGTATAATGCACACAAAATCTCACCCAATAACAGATTGAGGATTTGTTTTTTCTTAAAGGGACAAACTTATCACACTCCAAAGGCTGAGTCTGTAGTTCAAACCAGGAGAAAAGATTACTAGCAGCTTATACCTTAGTCTGTTGAGGTTAATGGCCTTTCTGTAATCCAACTGTAGTTCATTACTGTTAGCCAAGTTTCACATGGGCTCACTGCTATTACTCCCGCTAAGCAAGAAGACCAGAGTCTAATTCTGCAAATTCTCCATGTAGGGAATTGCCACTGGAATTAATAGGAGACTGGCAGGATTGGCTTTACAGGCTGTAGGATTAGACCATGGGCTAAGGGGTCAATGCAATCTTTATCCATCCACGTTGCTGGCTGCTAAATAACTATTTGTCCAAACAATTCAATGCAAGGAGAGACTTATTTGGTGTCCTACACAAATGACTTGCCATGACTTACTGGCACCATGGAAAAGAACCATTAGTAAAGAGATGGGCAAATAATTTTGGAAATTTCTTGCCTAAGGATCTTTCAATAACTACTTTACCCTCTGGCAATGGAACAAAATAGCAAGTAAGTGGGTGAAGTGAAGCAGACTGTCAGGTGGAATTCTGCATCTTGTAAGCTTGCATGCAAAGGAAGGTACAGTTCTTCCATTGAGGAGAGAAGAACCTGGAGGGGTGCCAGACTTTTTTATAACCATTAATGAATCATGCATAAGCTACACAACAAATGGCAATGTTCCTCTGACTAGGTTGCTGCTGATAAACTCCCGTGCGTTCTTGGATGCATAAGGATGTGAGTGTTTAACAGAGAGATGACCAGAGAGCTGTGTATCCCTACTATCCCATTCCGTTACTGTAAGGCTGTAAGCTATAAGATCAGACTCTGACAATAGTCGTGACCTTATTTTGATCTCTCTGGCAGAGTTGGACACAGGTTTAATGTAACAATATGCAAAATAACCTGTACAAGTCCCCATCCAAGTCCCTCTTCATCTTTGAGTAGATGCCGCATTTCTGCATGCCCAGGACAACCCTGCTGACTGTGACAATCCCAAGATTGTGGTAAACCTCCTTTGACAATTGAGGTTTTACAGCCTCAGGTGACACCATCCCGCACACATAGTCCGGGGCACCAAGCGAGTGAAGGCAAAGCATAGCATTCTAAATGGGGAGCAGGGAGGAACAGAAAAGCCTTTTCTACACTATAGTAAGTCTCCTAGCCCCGTGATTCTCC